GACTATACATACTGATTTAAGTGATGTCATTGTAACAAATTATTTTCAAAGATTTCTACTTAGAAAGATAAGATTTTATTTCACATTTATGCTACCTATACCTTTTGGTCAAGTATTTTCTGAAAGTTTTCCAACACTTTTATTTTGGCTCAGGTTCACCCTATTGAGGTTTTTTCTTCAAAGTTACTGGATTTCTCCATGGTCCAAGAACTCTGTTCATTTTTTTCCCAGTTTATCTACTTCACAGTTTACTTTAATAAAAGACCTTTATGAATAAAGATTATTTTGGTATGATTTGCCAGAATAATGTTCATTTTTATCACCAAAACATTTCTCCATGAAGTAAGTAGTTTACTGTGGATGTATCAGTATTTTCTTTTTCTTTTTTAAATAATAGAGGCAAAAGTCACACGAAAATAAACACTAGTGGGTCAAAATACATACTTTTAAAATTTTTGTTGGGGGGACGGGGATCGAACTCGGGACCTTGCACTTGAGAGTCCGGAGATGGCACCACTGAGCAAAATCCTCAGTGACTCAAAACATCAAGTGTCAACATAGTTCTTCAAAGACACAATGTTTGTTTCTAGAAATAGACAAAGCTTATATATCTTAGTTTGCACATCATAGTCAACTTTTTGTAATGCAAAAAATCTGAATAATTTATTAATAATACATCATAATATATATTAATGAAGTTTATTATATAATCAATCTAGGCAAAGAGCTATCATTTTTATTATAAAAATGCTGTTTAGCACATGTGACAGAATATCCACGTGTTGATTTATTGTGGAAAAAGGAACTTCAACTTTTCATTCTGTACTTAGAATTTTACTTTTTGATTTCGGGGGGTATAAAGTGTTAAGTTTTGATTATGTGTTTGATTAATGTGTTTTAATCATATATGTTAACAAACCACACTGCTGTTTCAGTCGTGCGTGCGGCCACACTGATCCCCTCCGGCCCGCCTCTCCTCGCGCGCTCTCGTCCTCTTTCCCAAGCTCCAGCATTAACTGTTCTATGTTTCCATCAACTTTTTCTTGTTCAGCTTCCCCTCAGAGTCTTGTCTTTCTGTGCCTAGAATGGTTTACTTAAGACGATGTCCTCCGGGACCCTCCCTTTGTTGAAGACGGCAGAGCTTCACTCTTCTTTGCAGCTAAGTAGCCCTGAGTTAACTCGGGTTTGAGGAACACGGGAAAGGGTCTGGATGTGCCAGTGTTGCTGTCTTAGAAATGTGTATTCCGGGCCTCCTGGTCCTTGCTCATCCTTCAGAAACGCCTGTGTTGAGCCTGAAGTTACAGGTCAAAGGCGCCCGTGGAGGAGGTCGGGGCTCCATTCTCACCGAGCACCCTCCAGCTTCGCCTGAGGAAGCCTAAGTACACGAAGGCTTACAGAGAACATGGGTGAGGGCTCTTGCAGAGGGAAGAATGCGTCTTATAATTTTGTCTTCCGCAGGTTCTAGCCTGCATTTAGTGCAGGGCCTCATGCCTGCCAAGGCTGTGTTCACAGAGAAATCTGGCTGCTGAGAAATAGAAGCCGATTGGATTCTTCCGCTAGGTGTTTGCCTCAAAGAATTGCAGGGACGAACGTGTATATATTGCGGGTGTCTGAGAGCATCCTCTGAATATTCTCCAAGGGAACAGGCCTGTCTCTCAGGCCGCGGGACACTGCGTCCTCCTGTCAGATTTTCCAGCAGACCAGTCCTGACGGCCCGTTCTCAGGTTCCCTGGCCAACCCTCAAAGCGTTTCATTTCTCCTCCCCAAATGAGCCCCTCCTACTCCTTGCTCTGCTCTCCCTTTCACAATCCAGGGGGCTCAGCCCTTCGCCCTACTGAGAGGCATCTTCTAACCAACCCTCATTTCGAATCATCACGTAAGACACATTGCAGACCTTGGGTCCCGGGAGGCATCCTGAGGTCTGAGCTCAGGAAGACCTAGAGCTGGGAAAACAGAAGTCTCGGACCAGCCAACCTTCCATTCAGAAAAGGGGCCTACACAGACAGGAGAGAGCGAGGAGAGTTGATTATCGAAATACAGAATAGGACAAGAGTCGCCAAGCCTTTTGGAAGCAGCTGCTCCCTAAAGAAGCCACATCTGTATTAAAGGTCCTGTTGGGTAGAGCATCGTGACTGTACGGAGATGAAATTTTGTGCGCCTGGAACACAGCTTTCCCGAAGTATTTTAAGTCCCTTAGGAAAACTGCCTTGTACTTTTTAATCCATTTTTATCTAAGCTACCATTCTTGTGAGGAGCAGAGAAATGTCCCACCAAGTATTGCTAATCTTATTAATGTTTGTTCCACAGTCTGCTGAAAAGTAGACAAGGCTGCACCAGCCCCAAGGCTAAGAATACCACGTGAGAACATTTGAAGCCCAGAGAAGGGCTCCCCGCCTCCCCAGGGTCCCCATCAATGTATTTGTTGAATGCATTTACGACTTCCAATCACCCCAATCCACACTTGGGCAATAGCAGAAGTACTACGTTGCACTGCATGAGTATTTCTTCTTCCCAAGAAATAAAAGTTTTCTTCTACTTCTTTGTTTCACTAATAATACCTGTTGATAATGTGAAATGGGAAGGAAAGGAGCAAAGGGGAAGGGGAAAGCAGAAGAGGAAGTTTGTAATGTAACTTAGCGAAATGATAGAAATGCAGGGTGATGAGCCTGTGGACGACACTGATAATCAGTGCCTAATATTTACCTGAATCAAAGCATCACACCGCATCTCGAGGATATGTGCAGATTTATGTGTCAGTCAAGACAAACTTTTTAAATGACTTGAGACAAAAACCTAAAAAATTAAAATAGAGTTTTGCTCGCATTTCTTTAAATCTGCAAACATTTTCTACAGGGTTAGATGAGCTATCAAGGTACTCCTAAACAAATGCTTTTCATCCTGGCACAGATGCATTTTTCTAATTAATGGCATCATTATCTCTGTTCCTCACACAGTTTTGGTTGTCATCCAAATAGCTGTTTGGCTACTTGTTGAGCCCCTTAACACCGGGACTACATGCTGAGCGAAGGTGGTTAACATTAGCATGTCTTCACTGTGTGTGCTACGATTGGGCCTGCAAGTCAACCTAAGTAGACTCCATGCTTTTTACCATAATTCTCAAGCGCAGATTCTGAAAAGTTGTCGTCTTGTCTTCTTTTTCAAACTCCATCTTTCTAATTTAATTCCTTACACTATGTTTGCATTTGATGGCACCCCTGAAAAAGACTCAGATGGTGAAACAGGACAGGGGGGATTTATTTAGCATTATGGTAGCAGAGAGATTGAATTGGACATTGTTGAAATAAAAGGCAGTAGAGTTGTAAGAGTTATAAGCATTGAAAAATACTAAATGATTTTACATGAGGTTTTGTGAATGTGAATAGGCTATCAATTTTGCTGACTGGTGCTTACCAAAATTAAGCTCCCACCCTCCTGCAGAGTAGAAGACAGGTAGCCCCTATTTTTTGATGCTTAAATTGAAAGAGAAAATGGTGGCAATGTCCTTCAGAAAGTCAGACCTGGTTAAAACTAACAGGAGGCTGAGAGAAGCTATGCATCAAACTGGGGCAGAAAAGGAGTACATAAGTACAATTTTCTGAAGTAAACACCCTAATTAAAGGAAATTTAGGCTCCCAGAATCAGAAAGAAACCTACACAGGACCCGGGATATAGCTCAGCGGTGCCTTGCCTGCCTCACAAGTGCAAGATCCTGAGTTGATCCCTGGTACTGGGGAAAAAAGCCTAAAAAAACAAACAAACAAACAAACAAAACAAAACAAAACAAAACTATGCTAATTTTATCAATGTGAAGAGAACATTCGCTTATCTAATTCATGTTTTACCTTACTTAGTCCACTTCAATGTGCTCAGATGTCTCTACAATAAGAGTTACTGGTATATCCTTATTTTCTGTATTGCAAGAGTGGAAATTAGTCTTTAGCATTAAAATAATCAATGCTATTTTTTACAAGATAGAAAGTATTCTCTCTTCCGACCTTGAAATGTTCCATAATTTCTAGGCTACTTTTATTAAATTTGCATTTTTATAACTAGGACTTTTTTCACATTGAGCTCTGGAAAACTCATCTAAAGCTTGTAATTTCTTTCAGGTTCATTTAACAGCAATCAATACATACAATTACCTTTCTGTTTTCCAATCACTTCCTTTGGAGGCAGAAGCACGTTGACTTTTTTAACTGTCTTCCATGTTGTCATGAGTGATGTCCTGTCTAATTATTTCTGAACTGCAGGACATATACGACTTCCTTTCTCATCTTCACCAACAATGCTCTTCATAAGGCACCACTCGCCTCTTAGCTAATGCTGTGTGCTGTACGGTGTTCCATTCGTTAACGACAGAGCCATTGTTTCAGTTTTCTTCTTTCAGGTTAGACTAGGTTAAACATTGCATGGTTTCTGTCAAACAAGGGATTGAACGTATACATAAATACACAGCCAAATGAAAGATAGATAATAGGAAACATGCGGGTAGATCTACCGAAAATGGGAGGGGTTCAGGAGATGAAGGCAAGAGGAAGGGTTGGGGAGGAGACATTAAAAAAGGACCAAGAGCTGTCATGAAAGTAGACAACCATGAAAGTAGACATTATGTACAGTAAATATGATTTAATAAAATTTTTAAAATAACAATGCATATTGGGCTAAAATAATTTCAAAATCTTATTGGCTTGAAGCAGAGGCTGTTTTCTTGGTAATATCACGCGTCTTGTTTGTTTCTACTAGAGACTGATCTACATCTCGTTTCTCTGGAAGCAAGGAATGAACGTGTATGGGGCCCACAAAGAAGAGACGTCTTTTTTTGTGCTGACCCTTGACATAGCCAGCCTGAAAATAACATACAGCATTTCTATTCATAAACCAGCTCCAGAGCAAACCTTTAACATCACCCAAACACAAGGGAGCTCATGATAGCGACCCTACTCTTTGGGAGGAAGAAACCAATAAAAATACCAGACAGGAACTATGTGTATTACCAACATAATCAATAGCTTTCTCTTGCTTCTTGGCCTCTTCTTTCTAAATAAAATAAAATAAATCCATTTTAGAAAAATTTAATTGTCATTCAGTAGTAATAATAACATAAATCACATAACTTTATTTTTTTCAAAATTAGCAATTAATGAAGTGAATGGTCATCATATCACACTCTTTAATAATCTAAGTAAGAACATAGCAACCTATCTTAATGAACAACAGTCACTTAAGTACTTGTGTGTTAGTTTCTCATGCATGCACAGAAATAGAAATCTGACAAATGATAGAGATTTGGGACTGGACAGAACGAATACTGAGTTGTTCTGATGAAATTAATCCGGGAAGTTCTAGGGCTACTAAGAAAAGTTCCAAATTCCAGTGCAGACCAATTTTCAATAGAAGGGGGGCCTATTAGGAAGATGGATTTAAACGTCTTTCTTCTGCTGTGTTTCTTAAAGTCACATTTGAAAAGTGAGATTCCATATATCTGTCATCAGGCCTAGAGCTGAGGCAAGATGTGCTTCTGAAAGCACATGCATCTACTGAAACATAATCTCCATGTTGCTGTTTTGGACAAATTTTATGAGCGATTAAAGGGCTGTGACAAGTCAGATCTGTTACAGATGACCGGAATTTCCATAAGCTTTCTTTTAGTATGCATATAAGCTAAAAAGCACAATTCCATTTGTTAAAGAAAATGTAACTGGGTTAATCTGAATAATTAAGGCACTAATAAAATAAAATATTGTACAGAATGCATTTCCATCTCTTCACGAACACGTTTCATGTATCACACTAGGTTTTTGTTTAAATATTGTCAGTATTAGTTCACTTCCTGGTATCAAAAACAAAAACAAAAAAAACAAGAGCAGCCAGAGAGTATCGCATGATTGAGAAAATTTATGGAAAATAAAATACATTTTCTGATTTACCAAATTATAATTGCATTCAACTCTAATAGTAATAAGATGCTGTAACTATCCAATATTTTATAATTGAGTTTTTAAGTTCAAATTCAAAGAAGTATACAAAATAGAAGGAATTCTTCTAATGTTGTCTAACAGCAGACATGGTGGGTATGCTTTTTTTCTAAATTATTTAAAATTCTATCTGTATCCCTGATAAACCTATGGATAAAGGAAAAGGATGGCTATGTCAGTAACAGAATGGAACAAAGTTTAAAAATAACAAACAAATATAAAATCTTTGTCTTCCTTTTACTAGAAATGCTTAATTTATTGAGCATTTCCTAGTTAAAAATGCCTTCTACCTCATTCAGTTTCATTGTCATGACAATCCCATGAGAACTAGAAGTGACTTTGCCCATATAAATAAATAGAAGAAGCCCCAAGAAGTTCAAAGTCTTTTTAGATTTGAAAATTTCATGTCCACCAATGAATTCTATGTTTCTTATTAGATTCAGAAGTCTTGCAATTATTCCTTCAGCAATGTGAATACTTTTAATGGGCCAATAATTACAATTAGTTTGAGTTTAACTGTTTAAACATTAATTCAGGGATTTGGAGTTTGATATTAAAAACCTAATAAATTTAAATGTATTTGATCATGTTTTCATTAGCCATTTTTAACTTGGTCATAGTTACAGTGTAAGGGTCACTAACACCTCTGGGTAAATCTCATGACATTAATTACAATCATAAAATTATCCTTCTAAAATACATCTACTTCTTGCTATTGAAACTCTCAGTATCATAGTAGCTTCTGTAAAACAAAATTATCTCTCCCCAGCATCCAATATCTTCATTAAAACTCTGCTGTTTTCTATTTGCATGCCTAACCTGAGGAAAACAAGCTTTTCTTCAGTCCTCAGAACAAGCATGTAGAATGTACGGTACTTACATGTCACCTCATCTCCCAGAAGGCTTCTCTTTGCTGCTGAAGCCATTGAAAAGTGTTCACTGTTGTTATCAGCATCCTTGCAATTCCCCTGAGGCTTAACCTTCCCCAATTCCAGTAGGGCTCTTGGACTAAGCACAGGAGATACCAGTACTCTTGACTCTATGAAGATAATATTATTGATGTTAATCTTTTTCATTTTTATTATGATACATAATAACATAATGGAAGTTGGAAAATGTATTAGATTTCAGGAACTGTCCAAGTGGAGGGGTAGCATGCAGGAGGATTTTGGTATCTGAAAATCCACTTTATCTTGCCTTATAGGGTGCCATCGGATGCACTCTTGCAATCGGTGCTTTCATATATATTATATTCCTTCTATACAGTGGTAAGAAAACATTTCCAAGATATTGAACACCAACCTCATGCCTAATTTTGTCTTACTCCGTTCTTCCTCTTAGACGCTTGACACAAATGAGGAGCAACCGGAATTCCCAGTCCCACCGTTCACGGCAGTAGAGAGAAAGCTCATGTGAAACTGCAGGGGGGAAGGATGAAAGGCACACCACATACAGACAACAAAATTAAAATGTAGTTACTAGAGAAGGAAGCTGCTATTTCCAAGAATGAACAAGAATATATTAAAAGACTGTTAAACATTTCCTGAAATACAGAAATGGCTTCAAATACTAACAAAATATTGGAAATACTAGAAACAATCATTCCATATCTAAAACTGTGGAAAAACAATGAACATATACATAAGAGGAGAAATATAATATGTTCCATGTGCTGTGTGTCTTTATTCTAATATAGATTCAGTGAAATCCACGTAAACACAAGCAGACTTTTTTGGTCGTAGTTTTGGTCTTACAATTTGACAGCTTTTTCCTTACGTTTATATCAAACAGGTGAGTACATATTAAACAGTTAATGCGCTTCAGATGGCCTGGAGAAAAATGAGCAACTTTGAAGAAATGGGCTATGTCACATTTCCTATGCTGGTGCCAGTGGCCCTGCCAGGATGAGAGGAACGCGCGGGAGTGAACCTGGGAAGTGAGGGGAGGTGATTTGTCCTTACCGAGTGAGGCCTGGTGAATTCTCCACGAAGAGGATCTAGGCCAAGCAGAAACCACGGTTTTAAACTGAGCCAGCTAGAGCTCAACAGCGAGTACGTCCATTAATAATGTTACGTATTTTTGAGATTTTATCACGGCCAGTTAATAGATGCGCAATGACAAAAGCAGGACTTCTGAAGAATCTACAGGCGCGTGAGAGAGGTCCGTCACCACGGAACACGGGAGCGGTGTGGCGAACGTGAAATGCTGTGTCTCCCTCATATTACTCCTGGCCCTAGTGACAGAATTGCATCTGCTTACGTAATAGAACTAAAATAACCTCACCTAAATGTACTAGCTATAAGTGCTACAAACATAGTGCAATTTTACAAGTCAACTCTGGAAAAAACAATTATTCAGAATTCCCAGTAAATTACACTGATGGCATTATATGTACAGATAGAAAGAGAGATGATAAGAAAGAGAGACGCTAGATAGACAGAGCAATGACTATGAGAATTGGGAAATGTTACCAAATATACTCAACTTCTGGCTGTGGAAGGAGTTTATTAAATCACCCACTCTGCTCTCCGCGTGGATGAATGGGCGTTGCCAGATAGATGGATACACAGCTAGACGGAGAGATTTGCAAGTTCAAGAACGCAGCGACTTCCAATCTTTCCAGCTATTGACTAAAGCATTATTTTCCTAACAAAACTTGTTTCAAATTATCCGGTAAATATATCTAAATGAGAAAAAACATTCTGCTTTTCTTCTAAGCAACACGAACTTAAATATGTTATTTCTTTTTTCTTTTCTTTTTTTTAGTTTATTGGTACATTTTAGGTATACAGTGCAGTTACATTCATCATTGGGATCTTGTGCCTTTACATGACAGGTCTTGGTTCTCATTTTCTCCCCTTGTCCCTGCCCTCCCTTCACCCCCTCCTCCCCTCCCCATTAACAAACACTTTATTTCCATTTTTGCATTTTCTCGTATTTTTTTCTTTTCCCTTCTTACCTTTTTACTACCCTTCCCACTTTCCCTGTACCTTTAGCCTTTTTCTTCCCATTTCACAATGTCAGTTAAATATGTTATTTCTTTATTAAAATACTTTA